TTGAATTATGTTATTTTTATTGTCATAGAGCGTCTCAGTCCTTGGTTTCCACTTTCCTTTGATTTCTTGGATCTTGTGGAATAGGTCACTTGTTCTTCCCTTTTTGTTGTTGTCTTCTATTTCTCTGCACTTGTCGTCATTGTAGTTTTCTTTATATTTTTGCAGTAGTATTTGTACTGTTGCATTCATGATTCTTAGTTTGTTTCTATCCCTGTTTTTCTTCCCTTTTTTTCTTTATTGCTTGTAGAGTTTTATCTGTCATCCATGATTTCCTCTTTTTCTTTTCAGCTCTTGAAAGTGTCTGTCTGCATTCTACTTTTATTATGTACCTGGCTTCAGACCATAGATCTTCTGATTCTCAGTCTATTATGCTAAGTAGTGCAAATCTATTCCTTATATTGTTGATAAATTCTGTTGAGATATATTGTTTAGATCATATTTTGGTATGATGACTGGTTTTGTTTTCTTATTGAGTTTTACTTTTATTTTTGATATGAGTAATTCATGATCTGTGCCACAGTCAATGCCTGGTCTAGTCTTTGCTACCAGTATGGAGCTTTGCCATCTCTTACTTCCAATTATATAATCTATTTGGTTTTTGTGTTGACCATCTGGTGATGTCCATGTATATAGCCTTTTTTCTGGTTGCATGAAGAGTGTGTTTGCAATGAATAGGTTACTGACTTCACAAAAATCTATCAGACAGTCCCCCTGCTTCATTTCTTTTGCCTAATCCAAATCTGCCTACTGTTTTTGGTTCTTCTTTGCTTCCAACCTTTGTGTTCCAATCTCCAATAATCATCTTGAGATCCTGTGTTGATGTGCTATCACAAGGGTAGGCAACCTTTCCCCTTTAAGGGCCAAGGGACTTCATCTCCCAGAAGCCTCAGCCATGTTGGCCAATAGTCCCATGTTGGCCAATAGCTCCTGGGATTCCCTCGGCCCTTAAAGGGGAAAGGTTGCCTACCCCTGTGCTATCAATTTCTTTCTGTATTCCTTCATAGAATCTTTCAATTTCTTCCTGTTCTGTCTCTGTGGTTGGTGCATATACTTGAATTATGGTGATGTTAATAGGTTACCATGGAGAGTTATTGGAATAATTCGGTCTGATTTTGCATGATATCCTCTGACTGCTTTTGCTGCATCTTTTCTTAGTATGAAAGCCACCCCATTTCTTTGTGTCTTTTCATTCCTTGAGTAGAACACTGTGTAGTTGTCTGAAACAAAGTGGCCCATTCCTGTCCATTTTAATTCACTCACCCCCAATACAGCTAAGCTCATGCGTTGCATTTCCATTTTTACTATGTCTAGCTTCTCTTGGCTCATGCATCTCACATTCCACACCCCTATTTTATGTATTGTGCTGCTTCGGATAGCATCTATCTTTTTTCTCCCCATCTTTCTTATGCTATTCTTGCAAATGTGTTTTCTCTTTTTTTCTTACTCTCTCTTTGTTAGTTCTCTGATCCTGCCTTACTTGGAATGTCTCATAATAGAGTTTTCTAGGTGAAAGGTTAAACAAGGAGGGCCACCTATGTTAGCGTGGTTACGCAGCACGTGATGTACCACGTCAACATTTGGCAGCAGGATCACCACCTTCTGGGATGCAGGCAGCAGCTTGTGAGCTGGAGAAACACCTCTCCCCTTCCCAAATGAGTGAAGAGACACTGCAGACAGGCGTCTCACAGATGAGGCTTTTAATCTTAGTTCCACTGTATACAAAACTATTATACAACATCTATGCCATCCACCATCACAAAAGCCCACACTGTGACTTGAGGCACCTCCCTTATATAGCAAGGGCTCCATCTGGCCTTTTGGCCCTGCCTCTTCCTCTTGTGTCACAATGGAACCTGTCACCCATCCAGGGTGACTTTGCAGTTTT